AAAAGATTTATGGATAGTAGCCAAACTAGGTGTACCACGGAAAAATTAGTCGATCAGAGAGCGTTTATGGCACTCGGCTAAAAGTAGGTTTACTTGTAGTGTCGCAAGCTCTTTCACCACATTTTATATTATTTATTTTAATATAGTTTTCGGTCATGTAATTGGACGTCATGAAAAAAGTTAGGGAACATGTGCAAATAAGTCCTCGAATTAACTGAAAAAAGTGCAAATCACCCTTTTTATAGGAGGCTTTGTTCGGTCGTCGCCATTTGAGGCGGTTTCCGGTAGAATTGTTTGATGAAATTTTTTGAGCATCTTCTTCATTAAGTTTAATTTACCCATACGGCCATACCAAATTTCAACTAAAAATTCAATCCTAAAGGTAGTCAAATAAATACTTGAAGATAACTGCATAGTTAAATAACGCAGTATATTTCAGAAAATCATTTGACTGTCTTTGTGGTTGAATTTTTACCTGAAATTTGGTATGAGTAAATTAGACTAAAAAATATTCATCAAAAAATTTCACCGGTAACCGCCCCAAATGGAGACGGCTAGATAGAGGCTCCTATAAAAGGGTGATTTGCACTTTTTCGCTTAGTTTGAGGGCTTATTTGCACCTTTTCCCCAAAAATTTATTTAACAAAATTCCTGCCGCTCATATTAAACATGTAAAACAGTTTCATACTTTCATATGTTACATATATATGTTTATTAATATTTCAGAAACAATAAATCATTTTTTTTTATAAAACTGTCAATTACCAAATCATTAAACACATATCAATTACAAAAAAAGTAGTCACTTGAAAATCTGTTTTTGAAATGTGCCCTCCATATTAAAATTTCAGTTTAATATTTGATTTAAAACAACTATAGATTAATAAAGTTTAGTTAATACTATATTTTTTTAAAAAAAACTGGCAATTAAAAAAACTTGAAAAACAGTATAAAATGATACTTATATATGTTTATTAATATTTTAAACACCATAAATCAATTTTTTATAAAAGTGTCAATTATAAAATCATTAAACATATATTGATTACAAAAAAAGTGGTCACTTGAAAATCTGTTTTTGAAATGTGCCCGTCATATTAAACTTAAAATTTTAGTTTAATATGTAATTTAAAACAACTTTTGATTAATAAATTTTATTTAATACTCAATTTTTTTAACAAACAATTTTTTGAATAAAAATTTTAGTATATTTTGAGTAAACAGTATTGGTGCAGCAGAAGTTGGCGCACAGGAGAACACCATATCATTCATACTCCTATAGTGAAGTTCCTAACTCATCCTTGCATCATGTTATGAGGTGAAATCTCCTTTTCATAACATACATTCATTGTTATTGAGTGTGATTATTAAAGTATCTTTATGTAATTATGCATGTTCTGTGCGCGCAAAGACAAATGACAAATCTTTCGAATTAAATACAATTTGTATGCTTCTAGCTAGGTTTCCTAGTTTAACTTGCTTCACTAATGAAGTTACTTTGTTATTATTATTGAGGTTTCCTATAATTTACCAGTCCTTAATGGAGTTACATTGCTTTTGGACATCAAGTTGACTTTTTATTTTGAATTTGTCATTTAAACCAAGTCCTTATATTTTTTTGGGAATTACTAGTATGTAGAATTCAGATTTTTATATTAACTCAAAAAATCATTATTACTAGCTACTTTATGCTCAGAACTTGTTCAAATATAAGAAGATTTGCATTTGAGATGTAGTGATGATTGAAATGTACATTTTATTTTAACCTCGAATTGTAATTGTATTTTGAATGTGTGGGTCCATGTATATGAATTAGTAAACAATTATTGTTACATATAATAGAGCAATTCCAATGGTATATTAAGTGTTGGTATAACATAAAATTAAGTAAGCTTGATACAAGCCTATACTAACACTCATTACCTTGTTGGTACATGATAATGAGCTATTCCAACGCTAAAAGAGCCTATACTGACACTTAGGGGTGGACAATTCGGTTTACGGTTCGGTTTCGGTTTATTCGGTTCGAGAGAATTTGTACCAAACTAAAACTATTTGAGTTTCGGTTTGGTTTCAGTTCGGTTTTGGTTCGGTTCGGTTTGAAATTCGGTTTACCGAAGTGAAAATTATTAAGTTCAATTTGATTCGGTTTCTTATGCTTATTATTTTATTTGATCAACTTCTGTATTTTAGAATTAAAAAATGAAAGTAGTAGTTCATCTCATCTTCTTGTATTTATTATTTAAATAAAAGATAGAAAAAGAAATAATAAGATATTATAAATGAACACCTAAATTATCTTACCAACACGGATGTCATTAAAAATTCTTACATCTTTTCGATCACTAGAAAAAATATTCACTTCTCACAAAACAATTATAGTTGATTAGCATTTATAGGGGGTGTTTGGAACTGATTCTGCTTCTACTTCTTTTTTAAAAGCAGAAGCAGAATCAGAATAAGTTTTCAGAAACTGGTCACCCCCAGCTTCTAAAAAACTGATTATAGGAGTAAATTAGAGCACCAAAATCACTTCTCCACTTTCACCCAAACACTCCAACTTCTGTTTCAAGAATAAAATCCAAACACCACCGTAATACCACGTATGACATAAAATATTCCTCTCTCACATTCATACATCGCTAAGTCTTCTTCATGGACGGTCCTATGTTAAGTTCGTCAATCAAAAGCTCCTGGATGCTAAGAACACCTGAGCAGGCGACCTGAGAGAGAAAGACAAGGAGGACATTGAGAACTCCTATGGTTTCCCTCCTGATGTTGAAATCCGGTACCCCTGCCGTTTAGAAAGAGTCGACGAGGAAAGGATGGATTTACGGGATTTTGATGCCTCCATTCCCAAAATACGAATGTCAGCATTAGGTTACCAATTTACGGGAAACGGAGTTGGCAAATCCGACTTTTCCTAGGGTTTTCCAAGGGTTTGCAGAGCTGTCAGCATCCCTATTTTCGGATTCTCCTAATCCGACTTTGGGTTTTATTTTCAAGGAAAAACGGATTTGGTGAATCCGAAAAGTTCAAAACCAAAAAAAAAAAAGAAATCGGATGTCAGGTGTGAGTGTGAGTAGGCAAAGAAATTCGGATTTGCCTAATCCGAAATATGAAGCTCCCGGATTGGCCAATCCAAGTTTACCCGGATCGTGCTTCTTCAGCTCATTTTTCAACCGTAGGATTTAACAAACTCATCCCAACTGTCCATTGTTTTACACGGAAATCCATACTCCCAATCTCAAACTTCACCTATTTAAATCACTTCAACATCATATTCAGCCTACTACCATAAAAATAAATTTAGTTACAAAAAACCATTGAGTGTTCTTGCTAATTCTATTCTCCGAGTTTTTCAAAGAAAGGTTAGAATTTTAATTATATATTTACTCTTTACCGTTAATTTTTTGTACTGGTTGTGTTATGTCAGCCTGAATATTTCGAAAATCTTAATATTAATATGTAATTAATCTTAATTGCTATTAAGATTGTTGATATATGTCATACTAAATATATAACAATAGAAATAATTAGCCCACAACTTATAATTATTTGTAGTATTTCCTTTACAGTAGTTAATTTATGTTGATAATGTAAGCACATTTACTGTTTTTCAATTACTCTAATTATTGGTTCACTAATATTTGTTACTAATGTATTAAATACTCCCACTGTCCCATAAAATTCTTCTCACTTTTTTTTTTGGACCGTCCCAAAAAATTCTTCACACTTACCATTTTTGGACAATTTGTGTGGTTCACATTAATTTGACCTTTTTCTTACACAACTACAACCACACTTAAAGTGTGAAGAATTTTCTAGGACAGAGGGAGTACTAAATTAGTGTATATGGTAATTTGAGACTACGTTGCGATTACAATTTAAATTTAGTTTAGTTAGTTGAACATTTTAATTTAGTCATCACTACTTATTTCCACATAACATTATACTACGTAATATAATATAGTTCATACTCCGTAACATTTATTATAATTGAGCCATAAAAGCGAACATAAATTATAATTACACTATACCGGTAAAATTTTCACAAGCTCGTCTAGACTAGTCCTTTCTAGTTTCTGGCAAATGTTATGTCTAGAACTAGTCCTTTTCTAGTTTCTGGCACATTGAAAATATTACTCAATGACAAGTCTAAAATTTGTATCGGTACATATAATATAATTGCACTATACTGGTACGATTTTCACAAGCTCGTCTAGAACTAGTCCTTTTCTAGTTTCTGGCAAATGTTATGTCTAGAACTAGTCCTTTTCTAGTTTCTGGCATAGTGAGAATATTACTCAGTGACAAGTCTAAAATTTGTAATTGTACATATAATATAATTGCACTATACTGGTACGATTTTCACAAGCTCGTCTAGAACTAGTCCTTTTCTAGTTTCTGGCAAACGTTATGTCTAGAACTAGTCCTTTTCTAGTTTCTGGCACAGTGAGAATATTACTCAGTGTCAAGTCTAAAATTTGTATGGGAACATATAATATAATTGCACTATACTGGTACAATTTTCACAAGCTCGTCTAGAACTAGTCATTTTCTAGTTTCTGGCACGGTGGTAATATTGTTCAGTGGATAAGCCCATTATCAACCGTACATATATTATAATGTAATACATAAGACTGATATAGTTTCATTGAAAGTTTATGTGTAATTTATAATTTCATTTAATAAAACACGTCATTATGATATACATACACACACATATATAACACTAATATATGATTCTTATTGTCAGTTGAGATACGAATGGCTGCACAAATACCACTTATGGACCCGGTTGGTCGGTCTGTGTTGGTGATGCCACGTTACGCGCATCGAGCGGACCTTGTCTGGAATGATGCTACATCCATGGATGACAAGTTGAGGTGTAATGTATATTGTTCAATGGTGTACAAAGACGGTCCGCGTCACCCAGGAGTGGTAGCGTTGCTGAAGGCCTCCGGCTTTTACGGCGTCGACTGCATCGGAAGGTTGCAGTTAGACTGGTCGCTTATTACGGCGTTGGTTGAGCGATGGAGACCAGAGACACACACTTTTCATTTGCCTTTTGGTGAGGTGGGCATCACCTTACAGGACGTAGAAGTGTTGTTGGGGTTGCCCATCGACGGAGAACCACTGTCAGGACCTAGGACAAACTCGAAAGCACTTTGGATGCAAATGTGCACGGACTTCGCCGGTTTCACGCCAAACAACAACGACTTAAACACATCTGTAATAAGAATGAATGCCCTACAGCGTTGGCCGGTACATCAGCACAGCACAAATGAGGAACTCATCACATACACGAGGGTGCTCATTTGGCAACTACTAGGTGGGTTATTGTTCCCCTCCACTACCGGGAACAAAATAAAATTGTACTTTTTAGAGTTGTTGCAGGGACCGCTCGGTGAAGCACGACGGTGGAGTTGGGGCTCAGCAGTATTGGGGTTCCTGTATTACAACATGTGCAAGGCCACCAAAGCGAACATGAGAAATATTGGGGGATGCTTGCTTCTATTGCAGATTTGGGCGTGGGAGAGATTGCCCATGGGGCGGCCGCGAAACGTTTTGCCATATGAGAATCTACAGGATATGCCCTATGGGTGCAGGTATAATTTGAAATTTTACAGAATGAGTATTAGTATATTAAATATATTTGTAGGTCATGGTATAATAACTTATTTTTATGAAGGTGGGCATGTCGGCACAATTGGGAACAAAGTTCTCGGTATACTCTACGTATTTATCGAGATCAGTTGGACGGGATCCGAGAGAACGAGGTTATAATTAACAATATCATTTTAGTTTAATAGAAAATAAATATTTTTTTGAATTAACTTCAAATAATATTGATCCAGTTCGTGTGACGCCCATACGCATTACAAGCCCTCCCCAGGTTCTGCGTCGCGGGAGTAGATTTGTGGACATCTAATGTCATGCTTATATATTGTGACATTTCTGAGATGTACTACCCCGGTAGATTTTGTCGTCAATTCGGTGCAATGCAACATATTCCTCCCGCAGCGGAATCACAAGCTAGCCACCATGCAAGTGGTGCAAAAAATTCTGGATGGCCATTCACACTATGGGCGGCGAGGCACAATCGTCGTATCGCATTTGAGTTCGTTGATCATCTCACCTACACTCCTGCGTACCGTGAATGGTACGCAAATGTCGGGAAACGACGGATTTGCAATCCGTTACATGGTCGACCTACAACGGGTTATGTAACTACTAACAGGGAGACAAGTACACTAGTAAGTATTTTATGTGTAATTATTCAACTTAGAAATGTTTATTATTATTTAATAACTTTACTTTTGAATTTTAGATGCAATGTATGGGCGATATCTATCGGCGCATGGCAGCTCCATTTGACGTCGAAGACATTCGCGAGCAAATTGCACGATGCCTTACAGGATTAGGTGCCGAGAATGTGCTTCATCAAGACATCATTTTCTATGGGGATGCCCATGATGATGCAGTGGATGATCATCCTCCACTTCAGCAAGACCGTAGAAGAGTCGCGGCCACTAGAGGTCGGCGTTACGGACGCGGTTATGTTGCTCCACACGTCGACAATGATGATGGTGATGATGATAATCACGATGATGATAATGATGATGATGAGGAGGAGGAAGAGGATGACGAAGATGGTGGTGAAGAAGAAGGACAACCATCTTCACATATTCATTCACACATCCCTTCCTCATCTCATGTACCTAATCAATACTATACACCGACTAGTGCATACATTCCGACGTTTGATGCGCCTTCGTTTATTCCACATGTACAACCTACATATGAGACACGTCCCACCTTTTTAAATTCACCAATTGATTGGTTGAACAACTTATTAGGATCAGATGTAAAGAGTGGGATGGGCAAGAAGCAGGGCCAAGCACACAACCGCCAATTGAACATTGGCCGAGACGGGATATACATTCTCGACGCTGTGGGACAGGGAGTCACTTCGTGGTGCCAGGTCGACACTATGAATCTGATGAATCAGAATAGTTGTATGTAATTAGTTTTATCAATTATGAATTGAATTTGTACTTTTAAATTATCAATCGAATTTGATATTATGTTATTATTATCAGGTACTTTTACTATTACGTTTCAATAATTCAATACAACATTCAATTTTTTTTCAACCACTTATTATTCGAAATAATTTCAACCACTTCTCTCAATCACTTGCACCCACCTAAACCCACTCCCAACTATCAATAATTTTGATCTAAAAAAAATATTCCGGGTACAAAAGTGTATAGATTCTACTCATTTTAAATTAAATCAATCAACTTTTAATTTTTCTGACAGATTCCCTGTCACTTCGGGAATCAATAATTCTACACAACATTCAATTTTTTTTCAACCACTTATTATTCGAAATAATTTCAACCACTTCTCCCAACCACTTGCACCCACCTAAACCCATTCCCAACTATCAATAATTTTGATCTAAAAAAAATATTCCTGGTACAAAAGTGTACAGATTCCACTCACTTTATATTAAATCAATCAACTTTTAATTTTTCTGACAGATTCCCTGTCACTTCGGGAATCAATAATTCTACACAACATTCAATTTTTTTTCAACCACTTATTATTCGAAATAATTTCAACCACTTCTCCCAACCACTTGCACCCACCTAAACGCATTCCCAACTATCAATAATTTTGATCTAAAAAAAATATTCCGGGTACAAAAGTGTACATATTCCACTCACTTTAAATTAAATCAATCAACTTTTAATTTTTCTGACAGATTCCCTGTCACTCCGGGAATCAATAATTCTACACAACATTCAATTTTTTTTCAACCACTTATTATTCGAAATAATTTCAACCACTTCTCCCAACCACTTGCACCCACCTAAACCCACTCCCAACTATCAATAATTTTGATCTAAAAAAAATATTCCGGGTACAAAAGTGTACAGATTCCACTCACTTTAAATTAAATCAATCAACTTTTAATTTTTCTGACAGATTCCCTGTCACTTCGGGAATCAATAATTCTACACAACATTCAATTTTTTTTCAACCACTTATTATTCGAAATAATTTCAAACACTTCTCCCAACCACTTGCACCCACCTAAACCCACTCCCAACTATCAATAATTTTGATCTAAAAAAAATATTCCGGGTACAAAAGTGTACATATTCCACTCACTTTAAATTAAATCAATCAACTTTTAATTTTTCTGACAGATTCCCTGTCACTTCGGGAATCAATAATTCTACACAACAGGAGCACTGAACTGAAAAAGCTCTGTTGGCAGGCCGGGAGTACACCCATGGTGAGTGAATTTTACCAAACAATGGCTCAAATTCGTGCTACGAATGAGAATGCGTTCACGTATTTGAACGCTATTCCACGTGAAATTGGGCACTGTGCTTCGACGATGGACGACGTTACGGCATCCTCACAACAAATCTTTCCGAGAGCTTCAATAACGTTCTAAAGGGATGTCGAACACTTCCAATCACCGCGCTGGTTAAGGCAACTTATAACAAAGTTGTCCAACTATTTGCCGATCGACGTAGGGCCGGTCAGATGTGGCGGCAAGCTGGGTTCCTATATCCGCAAAATATATGGAAAGATATTCTTGAACGTTCACAGAAAAGACATCAGTGCACTATTATCCCGCATAACCGAACAACGGGAATATACTCTGTTTCCATCCGTGATTATCCGCCGGTAACGGTAAATCTCTCACGTTGCGAATGTGATTGCGGTTTTTGGAAGCAAAATGGATTTCCATGTGTGCACGCCTATGCAACATGCCATTTCTTAGAAATAACTGTAGATCATCTCATCCCGGACGTGTATAAATTAGGTGCGTACATCCGTACGTATGCTACAGATATTATGCCTATGCATGACGTAAGTGTGATGCCTGATACCGGATATGTAGTGATACCGCCTCAAAGTGCTCGACGCAGTCAAACCGGTAGGCCTCAAAGGACACGATTTACAAATGAAATGGATATGCGTCCGAGTAGGAGAGCACAAGAGTAAAAATTTATATGTATTTTGTAACTCTTTTTCAATGAATAAAAATTTGTATTTCTTTGTCATGTTGTTGTTCAAGAAAAATGAGTAATGAAATATTTATATTATTTAATTTTGCGGGAACATTGAATAAATTCGTAATACAATATAATTAAATATGTATATTCACTAATATACAAATATTTGTTTTTTACTTAACAATTGATTATTTTTTACTTAATAAAATAATACACATCTTTCCAATTACAAATATCACTAAATTTATTCATTTTTGTACCCCAATTAAAACACCCAAAACACTTCATCAAACACATCTTATTATTTATCCCACTTATAAATTTATATTGAAATAAAAATATATCTCTGAGTACAAAAGTTATTGCAACCAAAGTTATTGAAACAAAACTTTTACTCTTTCAAATCTTTTTTATTGTTTTCAAGTGTGAAAAAAATAACAGTTCATTTATCCCACAAACAAATTTTCATTTAATCACTTGTGTTTTCCTATTTAAAAATAATTCCACAAAACCTTTAAACAAACCCACTCACAACTAGTCGGTACGTACGTAGCATGGCCATGCGTACCAAAAAATTAAAACCTGTTTTTCGGATTAGAGTAATCCGTTTTTATATTTCCCCAAGCAACCCTAGTATTTTCGGATTCCACACCCACGTTTCCCGTAAACTAAGAAAACCTAAATTTTTTCCCGTATTTTAGACCACCATGCTATCCATTCCGGCATTATAAGAAATCACCCAAGAGTCGACTGGTCTTGCTCGGGATGGGTTAGTTTCTTTCAATATCCTTTCAAGAAATTAGGCATGCACTTTCCGTTCTCCGACCTTGTGGCTGGCTTTCTGACCATTGCTCAGGTCTCCCCTGCTCAAGTCACGCCCCAAACATGGAGGCTTATTCGCTCGCTGGAGGCTTTGATTGAGAAGTACGAACTGAAATTTTCTGCTGAGGATTTGGGCTACACGTATGATTTGCGTACTTCAGGGTGAGGTCGGTTTATTCTTGTGGTAAAAGTTGGGAGAGAGATATTGGTCCTCTGAATCAGCAGTGTAAACGATAGAGGATGGATGACTAAATTCTTCTTCGTGGAGAGGTCTTCTTTAGGTGAAAGTGGGAGTTTCTTCACAAGTAAATGGAGAGTCGCTGGTAAGTTTTGCTCATACCGTGATGTGTTCTTTACTTGAATCGTATGTCTTGAAATTATTGACCTAGGTATTGCTTCTTACACCAGGTGATCAGAAAACAATTCCTTTAGATTTCAATCCTCAAACGGAAGAGAAGACCGCTCAACTCTTGGAACTTGGCACCGAAGCACGTCTGTATTCCTCGCTGTTCACCGAAATCAGAGGTATGGATGCAGAACCCCCCGTCATTAATCCCCTTCATGTTGGCTTACATCGATTTGTCAGAAATTTGTCTAAGTCGTCTGGTTTGATGGATCTTGTGTTTCAGTTGAAGGTTCTGACAGGGAGGAAGATGTCGTCAGTGTAGATGATGAAACCAGTGTTCAATGCATTCAGGAGGAGGATTGCCTTCTGAAGCATCAAATTAGTGATTACAACATCCTACTCTAATTCAAATGGCTACGTACTTACACAATGAAATGCTGCAAAAACAATATGTACATAAAATAATACTCCCTCCATTCCTATTAAAACTTCCAAGTGGGTTGGGCACACAGTTTAAGATAGTGGGTATTGTGTGGTGAAGAGTTGTGCAGAGGAGAGAGAAATGTGTAAGAAATGTTGTGAACCACAAATTGTTTACCAAAATGAGAAAGTGGAAGTTTTAATTGGAACGGACGAAAAAGGAAAGTTGGAAGTTTATTTAGGAACGGAGGGAGTAGTATCTAACACCCCATCAAGATGGAGCGTGGGGTCACAAATGGTCACCTTGCCAAACAAATATGAAAATTGATGAGTTCCAAGTGCCTTAGTGAGCAAGTCCGTAGGCTGTTCCGTAGTAGTGTGTAGAAAGGGGCAACCGTACCGGCTTATGCAAGACCACTTCCTTTGCTCCTTGTGCCGTCGTTCCATCAGTCTGGTACTCGCCCACATGCATGGCGTGCATGACTTGACGTCATGTACCTCGCCCAGATCCTCCACGTCCAGAGCCACCGCGACTGGGTCCTCCGCGTCCTCTTCCTCCGCGAGCACGACCCGGGTTCTGATACCACCACTCCGGGTAATTTCCAGTCCGACAGAAGCAAATTTCAACTTCATGTCCAGGTTTGTTACAATAGGTAGATTTCACTCGATCTTCCTTCCCAGTAGTAGGTCCGGTGCAGGTAGCAAACACTACTGCCTCAGGTTTCTCATCTCGCCCTGGAGTCAAATTTTGGTGCCGCTCTTCTAGTATCATCATGTGTGTGAAACAAATTTTAAGTGAATAAAAATTTGTGAAACAAATTTTAAGTATTCACTTAAAATTGATCGCAAATAATAATATGTGAGAATATTGGGTACAATCTCTAAATATGAATCCTCTGATTCTTCACTTTCAATTTGACATGAATACAATCAAAGAAATTAATTCAATTTAGAGATCTTTCAAACGTTCGAACGTTCTTCAAATCTTCAAATCTTCGTTCTTGAGATCTTCGAATCTTCAAATCTTCGTTACTCGGATCTTCAAATCTTCTTGAATTAAGAATTCAACTTGAAGGGCCTCCGGTTTTCTAGTGGCTTGATTTTCAACAAAAGGGTCGTTTTATGGTTTGATCTTTTGTTTAAGGGCCTCCCAGAATATATGGCTTGATCTTTAATTGAATTTCAATTCAATATTCATATGACTATCTTCAAATCTTCGAAGATTCGTTCTTCATATCTTCGAATCTTCAAAGTCTTGTTCTTCAGATCTTCGAATCTTCAAACTTCGTTCTTCAGATCTTCGAACGTTTTTCAACTTTTGGATTTATTTTATTAAGAATCGACGAAATCACGAAGGATTATTCGTATATTCTTAATAAAATTCGTGGCTTGATCTATTCCTCTTCTTCGGAATCGTTCAGAGCCTTTCGGGAGTTCTTGAGAGCTTTTCTGCAGCGTTTCTTCGTCTGAAAATTCTCTCCTCATTCCTCTCATCTGAGACCCCTATTTATAGGTGTGAGGGGGTCAAAATATGCTTTAGGGTTTAGCAAATTCGTCCATACCCCTTGGATCTCAATTAAAATGGGCTTCGGGCTCTATTTGCTCGCATTTTAATGGCTAGAAAAATCAGCACTTATATAATGTATCTGGATAGCCTTTTAATAAGGTTCGCAGCCATTTCTCACGCATTTGGATAGATTTCTTGATTGGATTCATTGCTCTTTATCAATTGGATCATGTCTCTTCTATATTGAGCCACTATTTCATAATAGGCTCAAAATAGAGAAATTAATAGGATCGGTCCATTCTTTTAAGAATTTAAATATGGCCTTTGTTTATTAATATTACTAAAATAAATAGAGAAGACAAAAATATGACTTGTGTTAAAATTTTCCCAAAAAGTGACTAACTACTCATTTATTCTCTTCATTTAATAAATTACATTTATTATTGTGACCGCCGCCTTGTGAACTGTCTGGCCAAAGTGACTTTGACCTGTTCCAGCCAAAGTGACTATGGCTCAGTGACTGCCGCTCATGGACTTACTTCGGCCACAATGCCCATGGTCTAGTGACCTCCTCCGTCCACAGCGACTTGCTCTGGCTACAGTGATCGTGACTCAGTGACCGTGGCTCAGTGACAGCTTATGATCTTACCCTTTGTACTCTGTGGATGTTCAGATTGCATACACTGCAAGTCCTTCATTGTGTTGGGGCAAGGGGAGAGCCCCTCTACTCTTTCCTAGATCTCAATGAAATGTTACGACATGAGTGACATACTATATTGCTTTTTATTTTTTCAATTCATTTGTAAGGAAACATGAATTGCAGCATTGCCAGAAGGACTACATGAGCTGCAGGATGGAAGAGAGATATGATTGGAGCTATGGTGACCACCGGTGGCACACCGATGGCCACAGTGACCAGCCCCCTCTTCACCAGTCCCATTCCAGCCCCTCATCCGCCAGTCCCGCCTCATCCCCTACCTAGTCCCAGCCCCGCCCTACCGCATCTCCATCCCCGGAAAAACTGCTCCAGCCCCGCCCTAGCCCCCTGGTCATGCCCCAACCCCTTCCATAGCCTCACAAAACCTGATACCAAGCAAATCCGCCCTACCGCCAAACTCGTCCATGCCCCAACCCCTCCCTAGCCTCACCCAACCAAATACCAAACAAATCTGCCCCAGATCTTTAAATAAAACACCCCAAATTCGATCTGGGTCTGAGGCATTGTTATTAATTATGAACGAGAAAAATATGTAGAAGAAACCTTGACCGGTTGTGTAAGCTTCGGAGTTGCAGAAGTAATTTGCGAAGAAGACGAAGGAGCGAGTTGTAGATAGAAGAAAGAAGAAGATGATGAGGGAATAGGGACGACGTCGGCGAGTGGTGTGAGGTAGAGGCAGTGGGAATGTGGGATGACCGATAACAAGTAAACAAGGTAGTACGTCGGTAAGGAGCCAAGGAATGAGCAGTAGAAGAGAAGTATCGGCGGCACTGATCCTGTTTTCCATCGAGGTATATGCGGATGAATAGGCTAATTAAATAAATTAAATTAAATGACACGGAGAATTAATGTTTAATTGGCGGTAATTAAATATGTGTTAATGACCTATTAACTGTGGTTTTGTAAAAAAAATCAATTTTAAACCTAATTTTAATTATATTATAAAAAATTGGGGAAAATGCGGCAGTTATTACGTAGGAACCGCCACGAAAAATAAAATTTTGAATTAAAAAAATTCATGTACAATTGTTTTTAACTTTGAACCGCCACGAATTGTTCGCAAAAAATGCTGGTTGGACACATAAATATGCGGCGGTTCTTAGGTAATAACAGCCACAAAAAAACTATTATTATTTTTAATTGGCGGTGGTTTTCAAATATAAAATCCGCCGCGCGTAAAAGCTTTGCGTCACATTCTGCTATGGCAGTCAAAACCGCGTGGGGCTTTAAAAATTATATACTCCTTCCGTCCCATAAAATGAGTCCCACTTTCCTTTTTAGGTGGTCCCAAAAAATTATTCTCATTTCCCTTTTTGGAAAGTTTTGTGTGGCTAACATTCATTTACTTTTTTCTTACTCAACCACAACCATACATTTCCACTTTATTCCCACTTTCTTAAACTCCGATACAAATTGAAGTGAGACTTATTTTATGGGACGGAGGTAGTATTATTTAATCTTAACTATTAAACTAATAAACAAAAAAGGATAAATATTAGCGATGGAAGTAATAATTTCTTTTTAATAAATCAAAATCTGTGATACAACTATTTTCGATCTTTGATTAATATGGAGTAGTTTTTAATCATTTGGGTCATGTATTGATACAACTTATCTACTATTTTAGATCTTTGATTAATATGGAGTAGTTTTTAATCATTTGGGTCATATATCCATCCAACTTATCTTTCAGATTACTTAATGATGATGGACCTATCTGTCATGCCTTGGATTGATGATGGACTTATTTTTAGAAGCCAAAAGTAGTCCATTTTTTGTGTGAGTAAAAAAGCACATTTAATCTTCACACTCTAAACTCCATTTTAAATATTAATTATAGTCACATGTTGAAGCCTTATAATGGTCCTCATATGTAAAATTTGGACTCATCCAAAAGTCTCTCAAACTTATAAAATTTGTATCAATCTTGATTTCCTAGAATAAGCAATATAATTACAATAACGGGAACAACATACTTGGTAAAAATAATAATTTTAATGATTAATCAATAAAGTGAATCAGTGCGCTTAGTAAATTGGGATTGAAATAGTTTTACCGGTTGATGATCTATCAAAAACATGCCTAGAGAAAATATAATCTTTGAAGAATTTTAACTAAAACATTTCAAGAATTTTGTATCTTTATTTTGATGAATAATGTGTCTATTTCAGGTGTTATAGGAGATAAGTAGGTGGGCAAAATATCTATTAAAGCGAGTGCAATAAGAAGTGGGATAAATGCATCAAAAGGAAATATGATGACATAAGTAATCGATGTATATTATAAGGGTGCATCGTTTGCTTATGAAGAAAAAAGATGTTGTCCAGCCTTCCAGACAGGATCCTTCGACCGACTGCCTCCGTTTGGGGAGGTTTTCGGTGGAAGTTTTTTTGAATTTTTTAGCATGTTCATCATGAAGTGTAGATTATTATGACCACGAAATTTCAGCTCGGCAAGTCAGTTAAATATATTATTGAAAAATTGCGCTTATATATATATATATATATATATATATATATATATATATATATATATATATATATATATATATATATATATATATATATATATTTGGCGCAGTTTGTTTTAATAATTTTATTAACTAACTTCTCGATTAAATATACGCTGAAATTTTGTGGATATAATCTAAACTTGATGAAGAACATATGCAAAAACTTCAACCGAAAACTGAATCTAAAGACGTTGGCTGGACGGAAGGTCTTGTCCATCCGACCTGACAAAACCATTACTGTAATACGAAGTATATACATGTGGAGTTTTTTTTGGAAGGTGAATGCATTTTTCTTGATCATTTTAAATGCTTATAAATGATGTATATAACGTTGTTAACAAGCTCAAAAGGTTTGCTTTGTGTTTATATACATCCAATTTTAGAAGCTAAATAGGTTTTTCTTTTATCCTCTTTTTAAATGCATATAAATGTTGTGTATATTTATTATGCAGTGTACATGAGTTTATGTTACCTCGTATATAATTTATGTAATTTTTATATAGGATTAGGGATTAAAACTTAATATGGAGTTGACACTTGGCGAATTTTCGCATGAAGAGAATTGTCACATGTCAAAAATTTCTATAAAGCATTCCACCAAGGTTTGCTTTATTATATTATATAGATATAGATTTTTTTGAGACAATATCTATTGGGGCACCACAAAAGAAAAAATTTAAGTAGCACTTTTTACAACTTTATAAGATTAAATAAATTGAAAACCATTGAGGGTATGTGCCCCATTGAAGTGTAACTACATACTTATGATAAGCATGAAGAACTAGCCTATTTTAGAGGAATAGGTTCAAATAGTATAGACTGCATACGAGTTTGAGTCTCGCAAGTCTTGATCCCATGCCCATCTCCATATTGATACATGAATTGAGCAACTCTAGCAACATTCATTGCAACTTCAATGGATCTTTTGGAGAAGGGTTTATCTTCAAATCCAATTTTATTCATCTTCTTCCATGCCTCATCTATTTGAAGATTGATATTTTCTTGAGCATCGTTCATTGAGACTCCAGCACTATTCATGTAACATTCCAAAGCCTTTGGTGTATCGCCTCTTTTCATCTCATGCTGATATTATACATAGAAGAAACTCCAACGTGTAATTATAACAATATAATCATATATGAAGAAGATAAATAACTTATAAAGTACAAATTTCATAAATATAATTAAAAACAATACGTTTGACCATCATCGTTTATCAAATCTATTAAAAACATGACTCATTAACATCTAAAAATAATTAAATAAGTATTAATGTAACGTTCTTTATTCTTTTTATAAAACTAAATATAAGATAGTCATCTACTCATATATGTGCCCACCATGTTTTACTTGTACTCGCATGTTGATCAGAGCCTCTAACTAACAGGTCTTTGTAGTTTAAGGATTTTTGCACTGGAAAGTACACTTTCTGACAAAAAAATCGACATTTGCGACATATTTTGAGGTGAATTATCGGTAGGAAGGTGTACTTTCTTATGAGAAAATACTTAAATTGCAAAAATATATTAATTACATGACCAAATTTACGAGCAAGTGAAGTATCAAGATTAAATTAAAAAGGGCACAAATAATTTATTGGACAAAAAATACAAAGTTTTCTTTAAATTTTAATACTTGTATTATCCCCCCGTGAAGTGTGGCTCCACTCCTGTGTAGTTTCTTTAAATATAAGATAGTCATCTACTCATATATGTGCCCACCATGTTTTACTTGTAAGCTTACATTTCTAGATTGTTGATTTTAGCAAACCAAACTTCATTAAGGATGTGTTTGGAGGGGCGGAGGTAAATATGTAGTGGCTTAAGAGGGCCATGCCCCCCCCCCCCCCCCCCCCCCCCACCTCTCCCCACACTTTTTTTTAAATATTACCATAAGAAATTATTTGGGCCCCATCCAAAAATTTATGAAGGCAATTTATTAGGCAAGCCCTAATTCTTTATATTTTAAGTTTTATATTCTAAAGTTTATATTTGAGAGATTTGAAATTTAGTCCTGTACGAAACTTTTGTCTGTTCCTATTATTAGTCCTGTAACTTTACTCGCATGTTGATCAGAGCCTCTAACTAATAGGTCTTTGTAGTTTAAGGATTTTTGCACTGGAAAGTACATATTTTGACAAAAAAAATCGACATTTGCGACATATTTTGCGGTGAATTATCGGTAGGAAAGTGTACTTTCCTATGGGAAAATACTTAAATTGCAAAAAATTATTAATTACATGACCAAATTTACGAGCAAGTGAAGTATTGGGACTAAATTAATAAGGGCACAAATAAATCTATTGGACAAAAAATACAAAGTTTTCATTACATTTTAATACTTGTATTATATCCCTCCCCGGTGAAGTGTGGCTCCACTCCTGTGTGTTTGGGAGTCAGTTTTTGGAAAGGGGAGATGAGTGAGAGTTGGTTACCCTTCCATTTGTGTTTAGGAGTAAAAAAATGTAAAGAAATAGTTTAGAAAGGTTTTTGTGACCCTCTAAAGACTTTTAAATGTTCAAATTTTAGATTCATCGAAGATGGTGGATTTTCGAAGGACAGCTAACTAAATGATAATTTAAACTAAATTTAAAATGAATATCAATGCAGTTATTTGGAGAACTCTCTTAGAAATGTTTTAATTATAATCACTTCTAGAACTCTCTTTTCCAAATTTGTTATTTCCAAAATAAGAAGAAAAGAGTTTCCTCACTTTTCCTTCTCTTCCCTTTCCCTCAAACTCCCCAACATACCCTAAAGTTTCAGATTTGACACATGACCAACTCATGCAAATAAGAATTTAAAAACGCATGCACGTACATGTGATGTGCCTTTGTCGTTTGCTAAGCGGAGAACTAAAGATGGGAAACGAGCAATGTCATGATAGTGCACTGATAGGCGATGCAAGGCTTCTTCATCCAAAGGGTTGTCCACACAAACGAAAGAATGCACTATTATAAGAGCACCTGATATTGAAATCCATGAATTTTCAATGTATTCTTTGTATGTCGGCTTGTACCCACTGTGGAACCACTTTGCTTCTTGCAAGTGTGCTTTGCAAAGATCTATCCACTGATTATACATCAAGATCGAATTTGTTCAGTGTCATCATCAGAATTAGTTAAAATATGATCATATATATTGATTATTAGTTCTTGAAATTACCGTTTTTCTTAAATAACCGGATACAAGAATGCCTTGTTCCTTACAAACGTCATATGCCACTTCATTAACAAAGTTGTGGACTGCAAAGTAACTAAGCTTCATGTACTCAGGAAGATGCCCGATGTTTGTTGTATCACTCCATCTGAATCGAGTGAAGAAGTAGAAGTGATCAAACACGTAAAAGTAAAAGTAAACTTAACATGCGCATCATACCAAATTTAAAAAGACTAAACTTAAACAAAACAAACTGGATCTCGACACTAGCAAATTACACATACACGAGACATCTATCAAACAAAACAGTTTAGAGCAATTAACATCAGACTTTGACATTTGTAAAATACACATGGTTCAAACATCTATCAAACTAGACTACACCATATCAATTGAGACTAGTCCAGAACAGGTCAGATTAGAAAGACCAGAACATGCCAGATCAGACCAGAAAAGTCCAGACCAGACCAAACAGGCTAGATCAGAGCAGACAAAAAAATTTAGTTTAAATAAAAACATCATAAGTTAGTATTTATGCTATGTTTAGATTTGGATACCACCTAAAAAGTCAACAACATAAAGAGTAACTAGCTTCAACCTTACTTATTCTGATTATTACACAACTGAGGACACGAAAAAAAATTACATACGTAGTATGTGGTAAAAAAACTGGTTGATAAGGTTGATAAGCTGAAAATACAAATTACCAAATGATCTATCAATGAGGTTTTATGTACTACTAGCATACGACTCGTGCATACACACGGGAAAAATAGTTGGTCCTAGGATATACTATCGTATATTTTTACTCACGATCTAATTAAATATAAAAACTGATTTTTTTTCTTACAATTTACATCATTTCAAAAATGGAGTATGATAAGTGAATATTAAAAAGCATAAATCCATACAACAAATATTCAAAGTAAAAGAAAATTAAAATGAAAAAAAGCGACACTATCCATTAGAATTTACTACGTAGTAATAATAAGTATCGTTGGTAATAGATAATGAAATATTGATTTTAATTGTTAGAGTTTTGAAAAACTACCTTAATGAGAACTTGAGTGACAATGTCTTATGACTTTCTTTTCTTATCATGTACGTAGTAAGGTATTAAAATCATTAATCCGTAATTTCTAAACTCTCGATAACGTCACACATATAAAGCTTTACATGACTAAAATACATTTAGGTAGGAATATTTCATCTTTTTACAGGTATAGAGCGTGATATTTATTGATCGTTAGACTTCTTACCTTATACCTAAAAGCACTACGTACGAGAGGGAAAATTCTCCTGCTCATGTTTTAGTCGGTTTGTCGTATACCTAAAAGCACTACATATGAGAGATAAAATTTTCCCCCGCTCAAATTTTAGCCTGCTTATCTTATGCCTACAAACACCATGTATGAGAGAGAAATTTATCCCGCTCAAGTTTTAGTCGGCTTATCTTCTTTATTGTACCTAAAAGCACTACATGTGAGAGAAAAAATTTTCCGGTCAATTGTTTTATACGGCTTATCTTATACCTAAAACTCTAAAAACACAACGTATGAGAGAGAAAATTATCTTGCTCAACCTTAAACCGGCTTATCTTCTTATACCTAAAACCACTACATACGTATGAGAGATAATATTCTCCCGCTCAATTGTTTATGCCGACTTATCTTATACGTACCTATACTTCTTATCTTATACTCCCTCCGTCCCGCTAGAAGGTTCCTGTGAACGGTTTACGATGCTTGACTGATGATAAAACAACTTAATCCCTGTTCATACTTTGATTATTTTTAGTAAATAAAATTAACATATTCAGAAACTACATTCAAACCGCTACAAAGCCTAATAAAAAAAAGTAAATTTGATAAAAATTTGATTTATAAAGTAAAAGATTAAAAATGATTTAAGTTGACCATGTGAATAGTGGACGAGAACCTTCTAATGGAACGGAGGTAGTACCTATAAAAGCACAACGTATGAGAGAGAAAATTATCTTGCTCAAGCTTAAACCGGCTTATTTTCTTATACCTAAAACCACTACATACGTATGAGAGATAGTATTCTCCCGCTCAATTGTTTAAGCCGACTTATCTTATACGTACCTATAATTCTTATATACCTAAAAGCATTACGTATGAAAGATAAACTTTTCCCCCTCAATTATTTTAGTTAGTCTATCTTCTTATTATACCTAAAAGCACTATGTATGAGAGAGAAAATTCACCCGCTAAATTTTTAGCCGGCTTATCTTAGAATCAAAATTAAAGCACACTACGTATGAGAGAAAATTCTTCCGCTAAAGTTTTAACCGATTTATCTTAGACCTAAAATCACAACGTATGAGAGAGAAAATTCTGCCACACAATTGCTTTAGCCGGATTATCTTATACCTAATACAAAAGTACTACGTATGAGAGTGAAAATTGTCCTGCTCAAGTTTCACGCTCAATTATTAGTCTGTTTATCTTATAACTGGACATTGTATATGATAAAGTCTATAATTATGTATTACATACATGCTTTAATAGTAGTGATTGCTTGCCTGAGGTGTCAAAGATACACACAAATAAGGGAGATTGATCCTGTAAATAAGGTATATTTCGATTATGGTTAAAAGTGAATTTAATGATCTCAATTTCTTCATCTATAAAAATCATGTATTACTTTTATGACACTTTAAAAATTGGACTGAATATAAATAACTTTAGTTATAATGATGTCTTAATCTTAATTGTTAAGTTGCTCCTCTTGAGAATGTTAATTTGTCTATATTCATCCAAATTTAAAATCCAAAAGTTTAAATATATAGTTAATACTAATAACTAACACAAATAAGCTCATAAAATTGAATAAATGAAAAAAATGTTTGATTGAAATTATGTCAAGTTGAAATGACACCCAAATGTAACTTTTAACATTTTACCAATAATATTATTTTTTAAATAAAGTTTGTGTAATGATTATGTACTAAATTTATTTTGTAGCAAGACATTTTACATTTATATGTAAAATTTCACATTTATATGTAAAATTTCACATTCATATCATACATGCATGTAAAATTGAAAATTAGCGTAAGATCATATTTATATTAGCCTATTCATTTCTTATAGAATGTGAAATCCGTAGGTCTAACGATCAAGTTTAGACTCTCATTGAACTCATCTAAAACTTTAGTGTTCTTGAAATTTGTCTCCTTTGCATGCACAAATTAGAAGTCCAAAATATTAACGAAATGTATAAGTATATTTACATTTTGAGTCAGTTACATCTTATTAAGAGATTATTTCAACATGATGATTTTTTGAGTATATTCTCATTCGTTTTTACTTTTAATGGTAATTAGGTTCACTGATAATAATGACATTTATATGTAAATTTCACATTCTTCGAATAGTGTGGCATTTTTTACAGTTGATATCATTTTCAACATTGTGACACTTTTTTAGAATAAAACGTGTGATGATTCATTAAATAACACTTTTATTTCCTATTAAAAAACATTACTACAGAATATATGTATGAAAGACTTATGTTGCCTACAGAATATCTAACAAAAAAGAAAACAAATTGCATATGAAAGACTTATGTTGCCTACATAATATTTGGCAAAATAGAAATTATTTCTTTCTTTAATACGGAATAATCCGTTTTGAGGTTAGAAAATACAAAGGTTGTTTAATAAATGATAGTCCATGTTCTTTAACAATCAAACAATCATAGCAGGTATAAAGAAGCAGATAGAAAGATATCAAGATTAACAACACCTTTGATATACCGTGATGAACGTCGATGCTCTTCCTCGAGAGAGAGAGCAGCGGAAACCTAATCTCTCTATCTCGTCTCTATGCTCTCTAAGCCTTGAACGTTAGGGTTCCCATAAGTTAGCCTCCTTTTATAGGAGAAGTTGGCTAACTTACGGGTTACAAAGAAGCTAACGGGCTGATACACATTTGTGGCCCGTATTACAAGTTTAATTAATAACTACACAAGTACAAAGATATTTAATTAGATTGAACACCATAAAATATTCCTAACAATAAACCTTAGTTTTTTTAATTATATATATGTGATATTAGTGTCATATAAAAGATCGTTCAAATTAATGAATTTTGATATGTTTTTGTAAAAATTAGATTAGTAATGAAATAGTTATAACAATTTAAAGAAGAAAGGGGTTTTTTATGATGAAAAAGGGGTTTTAAAAATGTGTAATTGATGTATGTGCGGAGAATATCAAAATAGAATGTAATACAAATTTGTTACTTCTGAAAAAAAGTGACAAAGTTTTTAAGCCCCATGTCAAAATTCACAATTGTGAATTTTATAAAATTTAAAATGTTGCATCTATTTAAAACATTTATAAAATATAGAATTATGGTCACTTAAAGTTAGGAATTAATTCTTTATTTAATACTCCGTACGAAATAATTTGTTTTGAGGTTGGAAAATAAGAAGATTTTTTAAAAATCTTCAGTTATTTTTTAAAATTTATATTGGCAATATTAGTGTAAAATGAAAGATAATAAAAAATTATAAATATTGATATAATTTTGGTAAAAATTGGTACAATAAAGAAAATGTTACAACACTTTAAAGAAAAAAAAGAAGACTTTCATATCATGGGACCCACTCATTAGATCTCACCTTTGGTAAGGTTGCTTTGGTAAGATTTTCATATCATGGAATAATAATATAAATCGAGTGAAATGTGAGGAGAAACATGTGTCAATTTGGAGGGTAAAATGGTATGATCTTTAAATGAGGTATTTGTTTTCTTATATATAAACTTTCTTATATATATAAATAGATAGATAGATTTTAATAACACTTTTACGTCTCAAGAATGACGAGCAAGTGTCAATGTATATACGTTTTTATTGGGTATATATACTAGTATATGTTTTATAATATGTACATCTAACTTAACGGTACATATTTACGTTAATGAAATGTATAGACCTTTTTAATTTTTCTAATAGCTTATCAATTTGGTATATACAATAATACATGGAAATTCATAATGTTAACTCAACACATATTTTATATTAATCAGTAAAGTGTCATACACTTTATTAAAAACAAAAGAGGTTATTAATTTAACACTCCATATAATTATATAGCCTATTTTTATGCTATACAACAGTCATTTCTCCCAAAAATTAATCTCAACAATTTATTTGTTCTATATTCGTTTTATTCCCGAAGTGAATTCTTTTTTTGAAAGAAAGTGTTTTCTTTATAAACAAATTTTTAGTGATTCGCAATCGGAAAAACATTTTTTTTTCACCGTGAAATTTTATGAATTGATGAGTTGAGCATTCTATAATGAAAAATGATGTTTGTACACATTTTTTATACACGTCATTTTACACGTATGCCGGCCATATTAGTTGTACATAGACAATTATTTTTGTTTTGTGAAGAACATTGTTTTTCACACTGAAAACAATTCTCTTCTCAAAATGAAAAACAAAAAAAAAACATGTAAGGGTACATATATACCTTTCAATGACATCCGTGAAGACCTGCAGTTCATCCAAAGTCCCATAAACATCGTATATATCATCAATTGTGCAAAGGAGACAATTAAGCTTTGCCTCAATTCTTCTAGCGTTTGAATACCCGGGGTAGTTAAATATTCCTACCGTCCAAAAGAAATTTTCTACCACTCTATCTCTCACGAAATTCAATCTTTCTGCAATATATGAACTCTTCCACCACCTGCACTCATAATATGATCGGGAAACGTAGATGCCAGCCTCAATACAAACTTAATTAACATTAATTAAATATTACCTTCGTCCCAATGGACTTTGCACTCCTTAAGTTAGGTGAAAAATAAGAATAGTAAAAATTGTGTGGTTCAAATTTGTGCAGAGGAGAGAGAAATGCGTACAACCATAAAATAGTTACTTTAATGGGAAAGTGACAAAGTTTTTTGGGTCAACCAAAAAAGGGAAGATGACAAAGTCCAGTGGGACGGAGGTAGTACTTGATTTGTACAATATTTATTTTTAATGTAATTTTAGACAAAAAGGACGTGTACATTACTAACAGAATTTTCCAGACAAAAAAATGAATAATTATATTTTTGGACAAAAATATGACTAGTCAATGTGTACGAGTAACTGGACAAAAGTCACTATAGTGTAATTCAGACTGACAAGTCGCAAACAGATGATGAGTCACTGGGAACTATTCACTGAATATGTTACTTTTTTCGAAAATTTTAAAATAAATCATATTTTTATCTTTTGAATTTTAGTTTAGTAATACCCATGGAAAAAGGCTAAAGTACACATATTATATTGTGTAATTAATTTATAGTTCATTTAGAATATAATTATTCCTAATGTGATTGACGGTTTATGAATTGCGGGTGACAAAATTAATTACAAAAATTGTCCTATATAGGTGTAAAAATATTTGTGTATTTTTAAATAGATTGTCATGCTTTTATTAGCTTTTATGAGTAATTACTGCCTTTGGCGGTATCAGACTTTATTGATGATACTCTTTGTCAAACTTGATAGTAATTGCTCTTATTTAGAAAATAAAAACATGGTAGACCTATTTTTTTGATCTTATATGGTATGGTATGATCTGAACCAATGTTCTAAAAGGTGTTAGGCGCTAGTCAGGTGCCAGCCCAGCACCTAGCGCTTAGGCGGCTAGGTAGACGCTAGTCAGAGACATAGAAATTGCATTTTTACATATATTTTTGCATAAATATGATAAGTAATATTTTATTTTTGTGTGAATAAAATACACACACATATATACTTACACACACACATACATCAACAAACATCAATGATAGAATTATCAGATTTAATCATACATGGTATGTAATAACTAATCATTAACTTCATTATGTTATAAATATAAATAAAGATAAAATTTAGGTATATATACAAACATATATTGTTTTATCTTAATTTACAACGTCATTTCTTTATATCCATGACTAAAGTTAAAGTACATATATCGCTTAAAAATTAAATTTAAAAAGTAAAGTAATGTTCAGTGAATTTAAACAACTTAGGCGACCGATTAGGCGCTTTAGGCGGGCAACTAGGCACCATAGACGACCGACTATAAATCACTTAGACGGCATATCAATTAGTCGAACGCCTAGAACGATTTTTAGAATAGAGGTCTGAACTGGTCGTGTGAACGTCTTGTTTGTGTGTATTTTTAACTTCCAAAATCTGATTTGATGTTGACCTGTTTAAGTCTGATTTACCATTTTTATGTCTGGTCCAATTTATTTTGCTCTACTCTCATGTGAGACAGAAAAGAGTACAAAGTAAATAGTATTTGCTTGGTATATACTCCCTCCGTCCCGTTGGAATGTTCCCGATTTGACCTACACACATATTAAGGAAATAAACTTACCAGGGGGTAAATTTTACTGTTTCGACACTGTTTGGCACTGTTTCGACACTGTTTGACACTTTTATGCACTGTTTGACCTTGTTTTGATGTAGGATAACTTTCCATTTAGAGAAATGAGAATTTTCCAACGGGACATCCAAAAAAGGAAATCGGGAACATTCCAACGGGACGGAGGGAGTATATAATCCTCTGGTCGATCATAGGGAAAAAGTTGGTGCAGAGTTTGCACCGGATATATCTAAATGGAATTGAGAGTAATGTTAAAAACTGAAAAAAGTGTTTGTAAAATATGCAAGACTCTTTTTTACATATTACGTGTCCACGTTGCTCTAAATTCCATTTAGATATAGATCCAAATACCATACCTACCTTGAAACGGATTTCAATTCATGTTGGTGCAGAGTTTGAAGAATGTTGAAGTCCAGTTTAGCTAATTCCAAAAGGACGGGATTATGGTTCGGTTTTGCGTGGTATAAATGAATGTTACCACTGGCCTCCAGCCTCGGCACCCTCCAATGCAAAGGCATTTCCAGTGCCCGTTGAACGGCCACACGAAGGTTTGGGTCGACGGTTCTGAAGTTGCCGGCGGCCGCCCGTTTGAGATGTTTGGTGGAGAAATCTCTGGCCAAGTCCAACGTGGTTTCGCCTTCCATGGATAGAAAGGATGCTTCGTATAAGTTTAGTAATCCCTTGGTATCTTCGCAAATGTCTGTCTTGAAATTGCCTCCACTTCCCTCCAAGAAACCATCAAACGCATCTAATCACATTCAAGAATTCAATCATGATCAAAGTTTTGTAATCGATCGACCAATAATATGTATAGTATGGAAATAATTGTTACGTAGTACATATCGCATTTGTTCGAATGTACCCTATAACTAAAATGATACGTAGTACATATCGCATTTGCCTGAACAGTCTAAATTTGAGAGCTGTGGAATAGAGATTATCTTTCCCCTTTTGGCTGCAACCTTTACTTCTCATCAAAGCATCCGTTATTTCATCCTCAAAATGGTAAGCCAATCCCAGCCTTTGCAATTCATCAATCAACTCCATTTTCTCCAACTCTTCCATCTCTTGATTATTCAGCATATTTTGAACCTTTTTCTTCAACTCATCACGTCTTTTCACGTATCCCTCATCATCCTGCATTATTATTATTATCATTATTATTATTACTACTAGTATAGTTTGAAGTAATGGAACTAACCAGGTACACATAATAAGGAATTGAATTCTTAGATGTTCGCTTTCTCATATACTAGTACAATACAATACGTGGTAAATATTACTGTATAGTTGTTAGTGTTGATGGACTGAATGTTAGCGTAATCCCAAGTAGGAGGCTCATAATTCCCAGATCTTCTGCTTATTGTTGTGGTTGTTGCATGACTACACATGACACTAAACGAGGCCCTTTGATGCTGAGCTGCTGCTGCTGCTCTGTTAGAAGTTTGAAGGCCATGAGCATGAAAGATGCATACTGAAGCAGGCAGCGAAATGAGTAATGTCATTATTTATTGGAAAAATCAAGAACATGTATCTCTCTGTATTCTTGTGTATAGCACAACCAAATAATTTGAAGACTGAATCTTTTCTAGTTTTAGTTCGCCAGTTTTTATAGGTGGATAGATACGAAGTACTACATACCCCTTCGAGTCAAAGATGCTAGATTTTGACCTAATATACGTAGTACTCCTCCGTCTCATAAAATAAGTCTCATTTTCCTTTTTGTGTCGTCCCGAAAAATTGTTCTCATTTCCCCTTTTGGAAAATTTTGTGTGGCTAATGTAGAAACTTGAATCCAGCTCAGGTCTCGTCCAAGATTCACCCACAAAGGATGAAGAACACCACTATAGTCACTAAGGGGCATCAGGAATTATGGAATTAAGCCAGCAGGCAATTTCCGGCCAATTTATCCGAGCACCCACAGAGAGGCGGAAATCAGAGAAGCAAGGGTTTAGCCTACTCACACAAACGGGAAGCAGATATTTAAATAGGCGAAGGACTGGAATTAGATATGGAAACTTACCATAGTAGGAGATACGCAGTGCCCGTCAAAGGAAGGAAAGAGTTCTGCAAGTTTGAATAAGAAAGGGGTTGTGCGAACAAGGCAAGGGTCGGGTAAAAAAACCAAATGGGCTGGAACCTCCTCAAATGCAATTGGGCTTAAAGAAATGTCGGGCCAATACCAACACATTCTCCACCTTATTGGACCATAGTGGTTTAGAGTCAAAGCTCTAACACAAATTTGAGACTCATCATTGTTGGATTGCCCGAATAATCACAAAGACATATTCAGGCAAAGGGGTAAGATCACCAGGCAACTTAACCGCAATCAATGTTTAACGTGTGCTTGCACGATAGCAACTTTTCGACAGAGAGACATTTAGTCCCCATGTCGACAGGATTAAATTCTGATGGAATTTTAATCAACTTGATATCACCTGCACTAACAATATCACGTATAAAATGAAATCTAACATCAATATGCTTAGTTCTATCATGAAAAACGAGATTTTTACACAGTTGAATAGCAGATTGACTATCAGAAAACACACAAATGTCCTGATTAAGACTACCAATCTCCGTTAGGAGACGCTTAAGCCAAATGGCTTCCTTAAACGCTTCGGTAGCGGCCACATACCCGGACTCAGTAGTGGATAGGGCAACTATGGGTTGAAGTTGAGACTTCCAACTAATGCAAGACCCGCAAAGAGTAAACACATAAGAGGTAGTGGATTTCCTATTGTCTCTATCGTTAGCAAAATTCGAGTCCACATACCCACTCAACTTAACACCCTCAGAACACCTAGTGAAAACCAACCCATGATTAACAGTAGATTTCAAATACCTAAGCAACCACTTAAGAGCATTCCAATGAGGTAAACCAAGATTAGACATATACCTACTCAAACAGCTAACAACATAGGCAATGTCGGGTCTAGTACTCCCCATGAGATACATCACGGACCCAATAGCATTGGAATAAGGTACAGATTTCATTTTAGCAATTTCAGGAGCAGTCTTGGGAGACTGATCCTTACTTAACACAAAGTGGGACGCCATAGGAATAGAGACGGTAGTAGCAGAATGCATGTTATATTTACTCAAAATCTTTTCAATGTATGAAATCTGATTGAGTATTAACACACGCTTACTCCTATCCCTAACAATGTTAATGCCTAGGATCCTCTTGGCATCACCTAGGTCTTTCATTGCAAAGTTCTCACTGAGACGCTTTTGCACACCTTTAATGGCGTCACCCGAAGGACTAACAATCAACATATCATCCACATAAAGCAATAAAAATACAGGCACAGAAGAAGTATTTTTAAAGTATAGGCAATGGTCACACTCGGACTTGTGAAATTTCAAAGATGACATGCACTGGTCAAATTTGATATTCCACTGCCTCGGGGACTGCTTCAGGCCGTACAAGGTCTTCCTAAGCAAACACACATGATTACTCTTCATGGGATCCACAAAGCCCTCAGGCTAGGTCATATAGATTTTCTTGTCTAAATCACCATGCAAGAAAGCAGTGGTGACGTCCATTTGCTTCATTTCCCAATCATTATGAGCAACAAGAGCAAGCATCATTCTAATCGTAGTGAATTTAACAACAGGAGCAAAGATTTCAGCATAATCAACACCTTGCTTTTGAGTAAATCCCTTAGCTACTAACCTAGCCTTATATCTAATGTCGTTAGGCTCTTCCTTAACCTTAAATAGCCACTTACACTCAACTACGGAACTATTGGGCGATCTAGGAACTAACGTCCAAGTCTTATTCGCTCTAAGTGACTCCATCTCACTCTCCATGACGCAAAGCCATTTAGCGGACTCATTAGATCTAAGGGCCTCCCTATAGGTTTTAGGTTCGTTAAGCTCAAGGGTCTCAAACACAGAGAAAGCAAACATAGAAGTATCACACGCATGGAAAGCAAAATCAGGCATGCTATCAGCAGTTCTCCTAATTTCTCTCCTACTTCTATCTCTAACAAGTTGGTAATCATGCAAATCATTATCACTAGAATCAGCACTCTCATCATGCGATTCATTGTCATTTGAATGCACATGAGAATGCTCCACCTCACTCGAAGTGGTGGTATTATCATGCTCAAAAGAATCATGCAATTCAGAAAAGTCATGCAATTCAGAAGAATCATGCAAATTAGAAGAATCATGATTAGCAAACAAAGGACTGGCAGCATATGATATGGACTCCACCTCAACAGGTGTACTACTAGGGCTCGACTCAGAATAAGGAACTGACTTAACCAGACAAGGGAACTCGGATTCATTGAAAACAACGTTTCTACTTACCACAACCTTGAAACCTACCTGGTTTCTATCCCAAACCCTGTACCCCTTCACACCCTCAGGATAACCTAAGAAGACTCCTTTCTTACACCTAGGATCCAATTTGTCACCTTGTTGGTGCACATACGCAGCACACCCAAACACTCTAAGATTAGACAAATCAAGGGGCTTGTTTGAGAAAACAGATTCAGGGCACTTCCCACCTAAGGGAACAGAGGGAGACCGGTTAATCAAGTAGACAGCAGTATTGACTGCTTCACCCCAAAACTTTTTAGACAAACCGGAGGTAGCAAGCATACTCCTAACCTTATCTAGAACAGTCCTATTCATTCTCTCGGCTATTCCATTTTGTTGGGGAGTATAGGGCACAATTTTGTGCCTTCTAATCCCACAATCAACACAGAGTTGGTCCATATCCTTATTGCAAAACTCTAATCCATTATCGGTCCTAAGGGTTTTGACCATCTTACCGGTTTGATTTTCTACAAGGGTTTTCCACTCCCTAAATTTCACAAAGACATCGGACTTATGCTCAAGAAGACAGACCCACACCTTCCTAGAAAAATCATCGATAATGGACAGAAAATATCTCTTACCCCCGTGGGTAGAGACACTAGCAGGACCCCACACATCTGCATGAACATACTCTAACACAGAGGTACACTTAGTGGGATTAGGATAAGGGGAAGAGGGGAATGTAACCTTATGCTGCTTGCCTAACACACAAGATTCACAGAAAGGGATGGAGGACACAGAATCCTTACCAAAACAACCAGATTTATGCAAAATCTCTAAACCCTTATTACTCATGTGTCCTAATCTATTATGCCACAAAGCAGTTTTATCAGAACTAACAACATGAGCAGAATCACAGAAAGGCTGAGCATGGCACACATACAAATTATTCACCTTTTTTGCCTTAAACAAAACAAGGGAATTTTTCAAAACTTTCATGCACCCATTTCCCCATTTACCCTCAAGCCCACTACCCTCAAAACCAGCGACAGAAAACAAGTTATGACGCAAATCAGGAACATGTCTCACATTTTTCATAGTAAACACAGTCCCATTATCAAACTTCAAACATACATCACCCACCCCATGTATTTTGAATTTCTTATTATCAGCAAGAGACACAAAACCATCATTGCAAGAATCATAAGAAGCAAACAGAGATCTAAAAGGTGTCATATGATAAGTACAACCAGAGTCAATTAACCACTCATTTTCAGTCATGCTACTCAACACAGAATTTGCAAAATCACAGACCATAAAAACTTCTTCATGCAAGTTATTATCATCTACCACATTAGCATGTTCAGACTTCTTAGGATGGGGACAATCCTTAATGAAGTGACTAGAATTACCACAATTATAGCACACTCTCTTCTTAGACTTACCTCTCTTCTTCCCCGGGTCATTGTTTTTGTTCTTATCGTTGTTGCCTTTCTTAGGGTTTCTAGATCTACTCTTAGACCTACCCCTCACAAACAACGCTTCACCTGAGTCCCTAGACTGACTGTTACTACCCCTCGAGTGTCTAAGGTCTAGCTCCTTACTCCTTAATCCATTAACGACTATATCTAGCGTGATATTGTCTCTACCATACTTTATGGCAGATTTGACGTCATTGTAAGAGTCAGGGATGGCATTAAGCAACACTATGGGTGTGTAGTCATCTATGTGTTTATCACCGGCTTGCTTAATGTTCTGAATAAGCTTGTTAAACACATCTAGGTTCTCATCTATGTCTTTAGTCAGGTCAAGCCTAAATCTAAAGAACTTCTCAAGCAAAAACAATTTACCAGGCAAAGAAGTATCGGTATACAACTTATCTAACTTGTCCCATAACTCTTTTGCAGAATCTATGATACCCACCTTCCTGAGCACTGAATCAGAAAGGTTTAGGTAAATAGAGGAACAAGCAGTTTCATTCATTTCAACGCGCTTGGTAGCATCCCAGAGTCTAAATAGAGACCGGTCACAACTCTATAGACTTTCTGTTGGATCAACACGCATTTGATTTTCTGTTTCCAGATATCAAAATCTGTCTTTCCGTTAAATGGAAGCATGCCATATTGATTGACAGCCATATTAACCGGAAAGCAAGCACAACACGCAAGAGAGTAAATAAAAAATTTATCAGGCTATCAACCGGTACGAAGCAACTAGCACGAACAAGCCGAGAAGACCAATGAACACAAAGCTCGGGTACAATCTCCTTGTTCTTTCGTACCGTACGAAGCAACTAGCACGAACAAGCCGAGAAGACCAATGAACA